TGTCCACGTCACCTCGCTGCATGGTGGTGACACCTGCGGCCCCTCGTGCCCAGGAGGACGCCAGGGCAGAGCAGTGCCGTGTGCACCTGGCTAGCCGAGTGACCTTGCCTGCCCCCCTTGTCCTCGAGAGAAGCATGTGACTTGGGAACGAGCTCCATAGGCTGAGGGGACCATCCCTACAGAGTTCCAACTCCTCAACCAAGGCAGAAGTGACAGTCCCTGCCTGCCCACGCTTGTCCCCTTTGTCCTGGAGAGAAGCATGTGACTTGGAAACAAGCTCCGTAGGCTGAGGGGATAATCCCTTCTGAGTTCCAAGAGGGGCTCAGTGCAAGCACAGCAGACCTGCTCCACGCTGGGCGGCTGCAGTGTCCTGCGGCTCCGTGGGGACACTGGACCCTCATGCCTCTCTCCCCAGAACGTGGAGTACAACATCTTGGAGGGACTGGAGTGCCGGGGGGCGCCCGCAGTGGTCGTAAGCCAGGGCCGAGTGGTGCTGGAGGACGGGAACCTGCTCGTCACCCCGGGGGCAGGCCGTTTCATCCCTCGGAAAACATTCCCGGACTTCGTCTACAAGAGGATCAAAGCTCGAAACAGGGTAGGGCAGGCCCAAGGGGGTGTCCTGCAGGCGGCGGGTGGGCGGGGGGAGTTCTGGGCCCATGACGCACCTCCTGTAAGCCTGGCCCAGCCCCTAGAGGCGTCAGGGAGTGGAGCCACTGCTTGCCCAAGGCCCTGGTGGGCCTAAGTGGGGCAGGGCCTGGTGCTGGGACCCCCCGGCCCTGGATCAGCTCTGCTGGCACCTGTGAACGGCAGCTGGGTGCCACCTCAGTCATCCACAGTGGCCAAATGCAGATATGAAGTGAGCAGAAAGCCACCTCCCCATGGGAGCCACCAGTGGGACCTTAGTATGGGTCCTTCTGGGATTCCCCGTGGACAGATGTGCACACCGATGTGTGGACTGGGGCGTGAGCTCCTGTCCACTCAGGCTGTCAGGAGCTCAGCCGTAGGGGCACCTCCCGTGGCCTTTCAGTCTCTTAACCTGGACTGCCAGGTGCTTCCCACGTGCACAGCAATACATGTGGTAGTGAGTGGCGTCTGTACACACAGGCGCACGTGGGGCCTCAGGGAGGGAGGTGTGAGCACATACACCTGTGTCGGTGACTGAGGGAGGGATGTGCACACATATGTAGGCAAGACGGTGGGACCTTGGGCAGGCATTGTACACGTGTGGGGAGGTCTGCGAGGAGGGAGATGTGTGTGAACATGGGGGGTGCACCCCTCCAGGGGAGCCCCAAACTCCTGAAGCTGGCAGTGGAGAGGCGCTGAGCAGGCACAGCCGTCCAGCTGCCCACGCTCAGCCCCTCATGCCCGTCTCTGGCCCACAGCTGGCGGAGATCCACGGTGTGCCCCGTGGGCTGTATGACGGGCCCGTGCATGAGGTGATGGTGCCTGCCAAGCCGGGGAGTGGCACCCAGGCCCGCGCGTCCTGCCCAGGGAAGATCTCAGTCCCTCCCGTGCGGAACCTGCACCAGTCGGGGTTCAGCCTCTCTGGTAAGTTGGGCCTCAGGTACCGGTGGGGGTGTGAGGGGTTCTGCTGGAGCATCTGAGGGGCCCCAGGGCCTCAAGTACCAGGGCCCAGCCTGTGCCCAGAGGAGCTGCAGGGCCTGCTCTCACTTATGGGGCACATGGAAGCAGCCAGCAGGGGACTGGGGCAGGAGACGCTGCTAAGGATATCATGGAGGCTGAGGGCTGAGCCCACTTAAGGAGACCCCTCCTGCCCAGCGTCTGCCTGGGGCAGCTGTGATGAGCCTCCACCTTGAGGATGGTGTGCTGGGGTGGGGGTGTCAGGTGGATCCCAGGGTGAGCATGGATCCAGCCTCAGGGGAGGTGAGGGGTCTGACGGGGACCCCAGGATCACATGGAATCCAGGTCCCCAGCCAGCCCCAGAACCAAACATGAGGTGTGAGGGAGGGATCTGAGCTGTGTCCAGGGGCCCAGAGAGGCACACAGGAAGGCGTACAAGGGCCCCGGCCACCAGCGTCTGGCCTCTGGTGCCTCCTCCCTGCATGGGGAGGTGACAGCAGGCCCTGCTCACTTCCCAGGGCCTCAGGCTGGGGTCAGGTCCCTGAGAACCTGCCATTTCTGGGAGCCTGGGGGGCAGCCTTTCCTCACCCAGGGCCACAGCAGGGATGAGGCAGGACTGGCCCAGGCTCCTCTCAGGACAGGAAGGGCTCCTGCAGGTCAGCCTGGAGTTGGCAGACATCTTGGGCCTCAGACATCTCCTGGCAGCCTCCCGTGCACTCCCTATGCGCCACAGACCTCAGGGAGGGGAGCGCCTGCCGGGGACCTGGTCCCCTTGGCCTTCTGGTTCTGGCCCCACTGATGCAGTCACTGAATCTGCCTCCCCACTTGGATAGAAGGGACCCCGCCCCGGCCCCATTCTCTCCTGCCCACCCTGCCCTTTCTCAGGGTCTCAGGCTGACGACCACATTGCCCGACGCACGGCACAGAAGATCATGGCACCACCCGGCGGCCGCTCCAACATCACCTCTCTCTCCTAGACGCCCAGGCCCTGCCCTGTGAGCCCTGCTGGCCCCACCCGAGGCCACGGGGGCCCCAGGGGACTTGCCCCCCTTAGCATTTTCCTTTGTAGACGTTTCTTGAAGGTGCTTGGCGGCCTTGCCTTCCCCCTCCCCACAGGCTCCCCTTGTGGGGTCCCAGGTCCTACTGCCATGAGGCCCTCAAGAGAAGGGCTGAACCTGGGGAGACGTCACTGCCAGGGTGAGGAGACGTCACTGCCAGGGTGAGGCGGCGCCACACGGCAGGGACGGTGCCAGCGGCTTGAGCTCAGGCACCCCAGTGCCCACTGAGCCCAGCCTGGGTACAGGGAACCCGCCGGGCTGCACAGAGCGCGCGGGAGCACCCCAACACCGAGTCGCGCCTGGTGGGCATTTGCGCCTCCTCCCCACACCCATCACTGCCTCGAAGAGCCCCACGCTCCCAAATCCCCTCCCCAGAGGCCTGTGCCCGTGGCGGGCCAGGGAGGAGGTGGGAGCAGAGCCCTCCGCCTCACACAGCTGCTGAGACTTCAGGGAGCCGTCGGAACTCGGTGCAGCACAGCCCGCCCGTGGAGGGGTCCTTCTCCACACCCCGAGGCCCACACCTGAGCTTTGTAGTAGCCCCCGTCCAGGGAACCCTCGTGATCCTTTAGGAAGACACTGCCCTTTCATTACAGAGTGTGTTTCCATAGGCTTCTTAGTAGCAGCTTTGTACGTGAGGACACCTGTAGGCAGGAGCCTGTGCATGCCACCCACCGCCTGACGGACGGGCGTCATCCAGCCTCTGATGTGAATCAGGCCCATTAAAGACGTCTGGTGCGTGGAAAACGCGTCTCCTCTCCCCTACATGCTCTGCACGGGCGGCCCGGCTGGCTGTGGCTGGTCCGACCGCTCCTGCAGCCACAGCTCTTCTCCCTTGCACAGGGCTCCTCTGCATGGCAGGGAGGGGCTTGTCCTCGCACAGGGAAGAGGAGCAGCGGGGCAGCCTGGGTGGGGCAGAGGGGGCCCCCACACTTCTCACCGGACAGCCGTGGCTGCACCAGAAGGCCATCAGCATGCACAGGAGCGCCTGGAATCCAGGCGCACACCACCATCACCCAGGCGGGCCCTGCTCAGAGATGCAGGCCCAGCACTCAAGGCCAGGCAGCCACAAGGCTCCTCCCCGAACCCCCTAAGGTCGTGACTGTGGTGCTGGTGCATACCTCATCTCATATAACGGGCACTAGTTCGTATTCTAGGTGTGGATGTTCCCAGATAGCTGACCTCTCACCAAAAGCAGGGCCTGGCCGTGATCACTGGGCACTCACTGCTGGCCGATGAGCACAGAGGGCCGGGGACTCACCTCCTGCCACTGGCTCTCCAGGCCCTGCCCAGGCACCGATGGCGATGGGGAATTTCCTGCCATGGTCTCTGGGGACCATGGACAGGTGCATCTTTGACCCTGGGCTTCTCGCAAAGCAGTGCTGATCCCAGGCAGCGGCCCTGGAGGAGGCCCTGGGTCCTCGGCATTTCCTTCTCAGGGCTCCCTGTGGCCCAGCTGTGGGGAGTTGGCATCCCTGGCTCTGCCCCAGGGTTGGGGGTGATCAGGGGAACCAGACAGCACCCACGCCCCACCAGTGTCTCGGGGAAGGACAAGGAGCACCACCTGCCACGTTCCCCAAACGCACTTAAACCCCACACCTGTCCTTCCCCCACATTTGCCTCTGACATCCCCACGTTTCCACCGAGCACACAGGGCCACCTCAGGGCCTTCACAGGGACCGGGCCGCCCTTCCTGGTGGTGACTTGGGCGCCATGTCCCCCATGTGAGCTGCTAATTCCTTCTGGGATTCAGAGGGCAGGGGCGGGCAGGGGACGGGGGGCTGCATCCTCTCCCCTCGGACTTAGGACTCTGCTCCTGGCACGTCCGGTTCTTCCCCAGATGTTCCTTGGCCGTTGCCATCTCAGCCCACCCAAGGACAGGACGGACCTGTTTGCCAGGGGTGCAGCAGGGATCGTGGACACAGATCTAGACACATGTTCACCATGGTTGCTGTCCTGGGAGGGGGCGCAGACCCGACACATGCATTCCCCCAGAGGAACGGAGTGCTGGGCTGACGGGCTGAGCCCATTCTCCAGCGGGACCAGAGAGAAGCACACAGGCCATTTACCCAGTTACAGTCCCAGTGACAGAACCACCTGCCACAGCGAGAGGGCTGTGTCCCTTCACGGAGGGCCGAGCACTGCCTGGCACTGCGGTGGCTCCACCGTGCGTGGTGCTGTCCTGGGCTCCTGCCTCCAGCACCGTCAACGCCTCCCGCAGCCTTATGGCTCCAGGGCCACGGAGACAGGCACGCACGCCATGCCGTGCTGCTGGAGCCCTGGGGAGGCTCTGCTCTGAGGAGCTGCCCACCCCGAGTCCAGCTGGGCCTGACGGCTGGGCAGACACAAGACACACCACAGCAGGCGCTTCTCACACTGTAATTCTCAGAGGTGAAAACTATACAGAAGCAGCAGAAATGCTGGAGCAGTGTGATCAGAAAACATCGGCCTCCCCACCCGCTACCCACAGCCCGCGCCCTTGACCTCCAAGAACTGGGCCGAGCCTGGGCACCCTGCAAGTGCTCACCTTGTGAAGTAGGCCACGCCCAGCCTGGGGGCCAAGCGGGGCCAAGGGCTCCTTCCCATTTGTGGCCCCGGCCCCCTGTGCGCAACAAAGGGGCGCCCAGCAGCGCTTTCGCCATTAGGCAGGTCCCAGGGCCCATGGGCAGTGCCCTCCTTGCTGGCCTCCACAGGTGCCTGCTGCACCCACAGCCTCTTGTCCCATCCAACACCACGAACCCGAGGTATGAAATGTGTCCAGGGCGCTGCGGGCACTGCCAGCCAGGCTGCTGGGTGGGAACATAATGCCAGGCTTCTGCCCTGTGGCCCTCCTCTGGCAGTTGAGTCTCTAAACCAGCCTGAGGGTGAGGACCACGGGCGTCCCGGCCTAGCCGCTCCCGGCCGAGGGGCAGATGGGGCCGCACATGGGCAAGGCGGAGGGCTCTGCCTCGTCCTCCAGAGGCTCCGCAACATCCCTGGGCCCAAGGGCGGGGAGAGGCTCGCTCAGGAGGTCCTGGCTCCTCTTCAGCCTGGGGTGGCAGGAACACATGGAGGGAGTTAACGCCCCCACCACCCCAGCATCACTGTCCCATGACCTGCCCGGGGGCTCAGGGAACAGGCCATGGCGTGGGTGCCCAAGTGTGGGCCACAGGCTGGGTGTCTGCTGGAAAGGCCATGCCCCCGATGCAGTCACTGGTATGACAGGGGGCCTGGGGGTGGGCGGGGGCATGCGAGGACGCTGGCAAGGCTTGGCGTGTTTCCAGCCAGAAGGCCTGAGTGTGCAGGTGCCACAGGTCAGCGACCTGGGAACGAGGCTTGGCTGAACCTCATTCATCACCTGGACCTCTGATCCCCAGGGTCTGCACTTGCCAGCCTGCACACCCTGCCCACAACAGCTCAGAGACCACTCCTTCAGGAGGCACTCATGCAAGCACAGGGCGCACCCATGGCAGCTGGGCCCCACCGTGGCAGCTGCTGCTGTCCCTGGCCTGCCTTGCCTGCCACCAGCCACCTTTGCCCTTTCTGTTCCCTCGTACTTGCAATTTGGGAAAGGTCAGCTGAGTGACTGGGGGCATGCCTGCGTCGGGAATTAACGTGGCCCTGGCAGGGCCTCCTAGAAAGCCTCCTCCCCTTGTCTGGGCAAACGATTGGTCTCTTCCCAGATGATTTCAGCCACGGGCCCTGAGTGGAGCCCAAACACGCCAGGGCCTGGCAGGGGCCTCCCGCCGCTCCCCTCCACAGCTGCTGCTCAGAGTCCCCAAAGAGAGCAGGGGCCATGCACCCCAGGCCCACAAAGGTCATGTGGCTGCGGGGTGGGGGGGTCCCAGGACTTGTGTGAGAGGGGGGCCACACACCCAGGCCCATGGAGGTCACGTGGCTGTAGGGTCTCAGGACTTGCATGAGAGCAAGGCCACGTACCCCAGGCCCACAGATGCCAACTCATGTGACCAAGAAAACTTTAACCTTGGCCCCATTTTCCTCCTCCCTGCCACCACGCTTACCCACCCCCACACACTCACTTTTCTCTGTTAAAAATCACGAAGTCTTGCTGGATTGCATCAAGGCAGTCTTGAAGATAGTCGTTCTCCTGTGGACAGAAAGGCACACATGAGTCTGTGGGGGACGTTGTCCAGGTCCCACCCATGTCCCCTCAGGTGAGTGTCTGGCATCGCTGCCGGGCCTGCACCTGTGGCTTTCTTTGGACGATGGCCTCTTTGGTACTGAAGCTGGCCGCGCAATGCTGGCATGGTGTGGGAAAGCATCATTAAGGGGACCGTGGACTACCAACGTGCGGGCAAACGGCAGACCCAGCTCAGCCAAGTCGCAGTGGGAAGTGCAGAGAGCCGCGGGCCTGGAGGTGACGTCGAAAGCACCCCACCTCCTGCAGCTGAGGGCAGAGGACACCCACTTGCGAGGACAGCAGAACCTCAGGTCCACAGCCTCGGGAAGTCGCCCTGAGAGGGAGGGAGCTGGGCTCTGGAGGCCGGACGGGACGTGTGAGTGGGTGCATGTGAGAACGCTCACCCCTATCTAGATACACAAAAGGTACAGTAAAATCCAGTGTTACCATCTCACGGGACCACCGTCCCACACGACTGGCCAGTGGCAGAGGCGGTAAAGTTAGGCAGCGGGTGAGGACAGTCTGCATCCACCCGAGACGGACAACAGCATGCTTTCACGGCCCCGCCCCAGGACTAAGGGCACTCTTCCCTGTCACGGCGTTGTCCATGCCTCGACACCTGGACACACTCACCCACCATCCCTGGGTCCTATTATTACTTTTTGAGATGGAGTCTCACTCTGTGAGACTCCAGGCAGTAGTGCAATGGTGCCATCTTGGCTCACCGCCAACCGTCTCTTGGGTTCAAGTGATTCTCCTGCCTCAGCGTCCCGAGTAGCTGGAATCACAGGCATGTGCCACCACACCCAGCTAATTTTTGTAGAGATAAGGTTTTACCATGTTGGCCAGGCCAGTCTTGAACTTCTGACCTCAGGTGATCCACCCACCTCAGCCTCTCAAAGTGCTAAGATTACAGGCGTGACCCACTGCACCCGGCCCCGCGGATCCTATTAATGCTGACTGCAAGTACTCTGGACACCCTGTAACCACACGTCCGGAGTGCAGGAGATCAACCCTGTGACGATGCAGAAACCTGTCCTCTGCATTGTTTCAGGGATCTGGTGACGTGCGTCACACTGGGACGCACCCATCCGGGAAAAGGATAAGCCATCTCACCTTGCACCTCTTCCCTCTAGGAAGGAAGCGTAGGGCTTGGCACATTTCCTGGGTTTGTGGAGCAGCTCACATTCCCCACCCTGAGGCAGTGCCCTCTGTGCTCTCCCGGATCTGTGGTGGTGTGACGGTTCCACCCTGGCAGCGGGAATGTGGACTCTTTCTTCCCAGCCCTGCATGGGCTCCGCCTGCTCCTCCTGTGAGGGCCAGCACCTGGCTGAGGGCTCAAGAAGCCGCCAGCAGACTCCCACACACTCTGCGGGCAGCCCTCTCCTCCACGTGGATGGTGGACTCCCTACAGGACTCACCATCCTGGCAGGGGACGTGTCCTTAGTCATTGAGAAGAGAGACAGACTGGGTGATCTGCTGTGTCCCGGCACTCTCTGGCCTAACCCTGATATAGACAAGTGTGCAAACTCTGGCTGGCCAAGTGATGGTGACCCAAGGCTCAGATCGCGCAGGGATGAAGGTCCAAGTGAGGCTCAGGGCAGGACTGAGCCACCGGGATCCTGAGATTCACAGCAACACAGGGCGGGAGGGGCTGGGGTGGATGCTGGGGACACGGAACACGAGTGCTCGCCACGACCCTGTGCACAGCCAGAGCAGGGGCTGTCGGTCATCCTCCCGCCTCCACGGCCACGTTTTCCTAGGCAGAGAGGCCACCGGAAGCCTGAGGAGCTGCCCCAGAAACATCTGGAAGAAGTAGCTCTGAGTGGTGCCTGAGCCTGGCTGTGGAGCGCTGAGACGTGTCACCACGACCCGTTTCCACAGGGACTCTCTTCCCCAAGTGTGTGGAGCACTGCCAGCAGGACAGCACGGCGGTGTCTGTGCCTGGCCTGGGTCTGTCCTGCCCTTCCTCTGATGGCCTCCGCCTGCACCTCTTCCTCAGCGGCCTGCCTTGGGTGGCTGGAGCCCTTTGCCAGGGCACACACGGGCCAGGAGGCCACAGGGGCGCCCTTTGCCCATGACTGATGGGTGTGGGCACTTGAAAGCCCAGCGCCGTCAGGGCAGGCGACCTCTTCAGTCACGGGCGATGCTCCCACGTCCCCTGAAGGCTGAAGCCACTTCCCACAGGGTTTCCAGATTTCTGCTTGAAAGCCAAGCCCTGCTGTCATTTCCCATCCCGCAGGCAGTGGGGGGTGGGGGTCTCTCCTGGATGAGTTAACTCCCACAGGAATCCCCATCTCAGGGCCCCATGGCACCTCCATACGTGCTGAGACGCAGCATCGGACCCCAGATGTCACCCACAGTGACGAGAGGCCTGGGAAATGGGCCAGGCTTCCACCCCTGACGCCATCACACATCTGCCTGGCAGCTCAGGTGCCGCTGCCAAACCTCTCCTTGCATTCACTGGAAATGCAAGGCACCAGAATAGTCATATCATGTCAGAAAAGAGCAAACCTGGGGGCTCCACGGGTCCTGATTTGAAAGCTTGCTACAAAGCCGCCGTCATCAAGACGGTGGGGTCCCGGCTCAGGGCAGACATCCGGACGGATGGAATAAAGTGGCAAGTGGGAAGACAAGGTGTGATGTCAAAGGCTATTCAAAGGGGGAAAGAATCGTCTTTTCAGCAAACGGCGCTAAGACAATCAGAAATCCACCGACGAGGGCATGAAGCTGGACCCGCACCTGACACCGATCATAGAAGTTAACTCAAAATGGATCAGAGCTTAAACTATACAACACTTAGAAGAAAGTGTGGGAGTCAATCCCTGCGGCCTCAGCTGAGGTGATGGATCCTTAGCAAAGCACAGCAGCCGAGGAAGAAATGGCCACATCAGACGTCAAGGTCCAAGACTTCCCTGCTGCAAATGGTGCCCTCCAGAAAGAGAAGAGAGCCCGTGGAACAGGAGGAAATCTGCCCGTCACCTGTCTGATAAGACACCTGGGTCCAGGAAATAAAATACATGACTGACGAAGAAACACAAGGACGAGCAAGGACCCTGGCTTCTGCTCTGCTGCGAACAACATGGAAGGTCTCGTTCCCATACCGGCAGCAGGAATAATGCTGAAGAAATGAAAGCCGATGACTTTTCCTGGACGCATCAGAGCGCGGAGGTCAAAGCACCGCCACGAGCCCAAACTCTGGAGAGTCGGGTGAGCAGAGTCACTGCCGAGACCCGCTGGCCTGGAGCAGAGCTGATGGCGCAGGAGCTGCAGGGACACCTCCCAGGCAGCCCTGGGAACGGCTGCGGCTGACTGCGGAACTCCTGGGCTCCCGTTGTCTTATGGCGCCCCAAGCCTTCTGTGGGTTTTCCCCTCTGGGAACCCTGCCAGGTCTTAATGAAGCCAAGGAAGATCCCTTCCGGGCTCTGGCATGGGAGGGGAACAGTCACCGCTGTGACTGACACCCGGAGCATTCTCCATGGCAAATGGAATTTGCTCTCTGAGGGAAAGACTTATCTCACTTGGGGGAAGACTGTTTTTCAGCCTGTACCCCTCTTTAGCCTTTCTGTCTCATTTACGGGAGCGGAAAAGCAGATATACAACTGTGAAGGGGCACAGGCCCCCGAGACTGAGATTTAGTCTGTACCACCTTCTCAACACACCAACGGGGCCTCCGCAGCATGAGGGGGATTCCAGCAGTAAGGGCTGACATGGACTCTCTGAGGAGATTTAGGGAAGCCAAGGGTAGCTGAGGAAATGGAATCAAATGTGAAGCCTCTGGGACCCACAGCTACGCAGACATTAAACCCTGCCCCAAACCTGGCCAGGAAACATAAGCCTCACAGCAAAGGCCTGTGTGCTGCAGTTCCTAGTACCAGACACAGCATGTCCTGCTTTCCACAAAAACTACAAGGCATACTACAAGCGGGAAGAAAATAAAAGTGTGCAGAGAACGCACGCTTGAGAAGGCACCCGCATACAGCACCTGTGCTGGGATGATCAGGCGGGAAATTCAGAGTCACTCTGATTAATATGGTAAAGGCCCTACGGGAAAAGTAGGGAGCAAGCAAGAACAGATGGGGAACAGACGGGCAACGTCAGCAGAGAGGTGGACACTGCAAGGGGGAATCAGAAGGAAACGCGGGGAACAGACACGAGGCTGCCTCTGATGGTTCCTCAGGAGCCTGGATCCAGATGAGGAAGGTGTGGGTCAAGGTGGCCAGGGAGACCCACGTTACTTCTGGCTAAATCATGACAAGCTTGCTTGGCTCGGAGTACACTGAAGTTTACACACCGAAGTAAACTACACTGTTGGTGCAGTCCATGAGAAATGAAGAGGCAACAGGAGGCCTCAGGTGAAGACCGTCCCGCGGTGACACCGGGGTGGCTGCAGGGCAGGGGACACGGCTCTGGTCCCACGAATGTCTTCTCAACATGGAGACTGCATGGGGGCCTCGTAAAGAGGGCGTGTCCAAAGATCTGTGAGAAGGGAGTGACCTCTGCTCACAGGATCCGGGAGGGTCTTTGCAGATGGGAGCTGGCAAGGAGGAGAAAAGCCTTGCAGGGCAGAGGGCACGGAGCGCCTCAGGCTCTGCGGAGGTTCTCGGAACATGGAGTGATTTTAATTGCTCTATGATAAATGCCCCTGATGCAGTGGGTGTGGTCAGACCTGGTGGTTCCTCATCTGCTGTACTTCTGGCGCAGCTGCACCCTGGTGACAATCAGTGGTAAACGCAGAGCGTTAGAGGGATCTCCAGTGCTCTCTGCCCAGCTGTGTTGCCCATTCCTTGACCCTCCCCTTCCACGCCCATAAAATCCATGAGATTATGCACATAAGAAACGTGTGTGGAGCCCAGAGCTGGGGCCAGCGCTGTTCCCACGGTTGCGCTGGACCCCTGGACACATGCTGCAAATCCTACTCTTGTGTCTCGTCTTTACTTCTTTTCCTCAGTTCCTCGTCACCGCCG